AATGACCAGGAGCCAGCCCTGAGCACAAAGCCAGTAGTAAGCCCTGCACAAAGCTGAGTGTGGTCAACAAAAAAACCAAGAGGAAAGAGGGGGGAGGGAGGCTCTTGGATACCTGGTGGTGGTTAGTTACAGTAACTTTATACATCAAAAACATAAATGTTAACATGACTCTATTCATTTTACCCAAACTAAATAATAATAACAAAAATTAGTATAATAACCAAAAACATTTTGCCTCAAAAATGTGAATCATACGTAATATCTCACTTATGTATTTGATTCAAATAATATGCTTGTTTGGCCATAGGTTTAATGATGTAAAATAGTCTTAAAAATTACAGAAATGATATGATACCTATATTGTATAGACACATGCATACATAAAAATAGTATAAAAAACAAATAGTTTACCACTCAGAAAGTGGTGATGTTTGTGTTTTTTATACCCCAACTATAGGATGATAAAATACTTCTGACAACACAGCTTAAACTAACGTGTACCTTTAGAAAAAATTGATGATGGTTACTCATTATAGTGTGACAAGAGTAACTATCTGAGACATATTTTATAGAGAATACATGTGTGAAACAGTCTTTGTAAACCATGTTATTCACTCAGTATGCCCTAGAGCAAGAACCTCAAACTTAACAGAGGTGGTCCCCTGGCCCATTGCATGCAATAGTCAATGAAAAGAAAATTTATTGCAAATCAATAGAACTTTGCGTAAATTTAATTGTATATTATATCTTTCTACAAAATATCTCCATAAAACTAAAATACAAATCTATTCTTTCATTGTTTTAGAAGATTAACAAAATAACTTGTTATATGGTTATTGTATAAATCATAAAGTTGTAATTAGAGATGTAGCAAGTTATTCTAAAATTTCTATTTCTTTTTTTTATATATTTTTAAAAATTTTTATTAGTGAGACACCATGAGGTACAGCTGTAGACTTACAAATTTTTGTGCTTGGGTTTCAATTATACAATGATCAAGTACCCATCCCTCTACCAGTGCCCATTTTCCACCACCACAGATCCCAGTCCCTCCCACCCCCATCCCCCCCCAAACCCACCCTGCCTCTGTGGCAGGGCATTCCCTTTTGTTCTCTCTCTCCTATTGGGTGTTGTGGTTTGCAAAAGAGGCAATGGGTGGCAATCATGTTTGGTCTATAGTCTACTTTCAGCATGCTTCTCCCATCCTGGGAGGATCTTCCCAACACCCTTTATTTGGTGCTCCCTTCTCTATCTGAGCTCCCTTTTCCCCTAGCATGTATGGCTGGCCTCCAAGCCATGGAGTAAAATTCCTGGTAGAGTTCAGAATAAGAAAAATGTTTATTGTCCCTGACTAAGAAAGTAAACTTCCTTGTATTAGCTGGTGAGGCATAGGATCCTTCCTACCTATTTCAGTGTTTGTTAGTGTTAAACCAGATTTGTTCAACTTTTCTGGAACTCCGCTTCATAATGGCCTACCTTTTTCTCCTACTCAGCTCCTTGCATTATTTGTGTTTTAAAGATTCCATAGTTCTGTTCCAGATTGTTTAACAACTTCATTATATGCCATATTATCTGGAGAACAGCACTTTTTATTCCAAATCAGGTAATAGCTTTCACCCTGCTCCTCCGCCCCCACCCCACGCCCTCCCTCTTCAGTTATCTGGGCTATTCTCAATAGTGCTTCTGGACCTGCCACTTTCTTCTAGGCTTTATATTCTCTCTTCTCTCTCTCTTTTTTTTTTGTTTGTTCACAAATTGCCTTTTTAAAAAAACTTTTATTAGTGAGACACCATGAGGTACAGTTGTAGACTTACAAATGTTTGTGCTTGGGTTCCAGTTATACAATGATCGAGTACCTAGTGCCCTCCACTAGTGCCCACTCCCCACCTGCAATGAACCCAGTAGCCTTCCCATCCCCCATCCCCCCATGCCACCCTGCCTCTGTGGTAGGGCATTCCCTTTTGTTCTCTCTCTCCTTTTGGGTGCTGTGGTTTGCAAAAGAGGCATTGAGTGGCAATCATGTTCGGTCTATAGTTTAGTTTCAGCATGCATCTACCATCCTGGGAGGATCCTCCAAACACCCTTTATTTGGTGCTCCCTTCTCTATCTGAGCTGCTATTTCCCCTAGCATGTGTGGCTGGCCTCCAAGCCATGGAGTAAACCTCCTGGTACTTCATCACGATCACGATCACGACCACCCTGTTGTTCGTCGATTGCCTCGAGCAGGTGCCAGTAACGTCTTCTTCGTCCTAGCCCTGAGATTTTTTTTTTTTAAAGTGCCATATTCAAGGCTTTTTCAGGGTTAGGAGAATGAGACCCATCATTGTTACTGGTATTTGGCATATTGGGTATACCACGGGGAGTTTGCCAGACTCTGCCATGTGGGCATGTTACATTTGGTAGCCTGCCAGTTTGACCGAATTACGAATGAGATGATAAGATGTCGCGCGGCTGCGCGCTTCCGGGAGCTGAGTGTGATAATCTCTGGATCCTGGCCGTTGTTGGAGTTACACGGCAGTTGGTGGGTGTAACTGTCTAGTTACTGGCAGGTCCAGTCCCAAACTGTACAGGCTTGGAGATCTCAGCCCCGGGTCCCACACACCTGGGTTCCTCTGTCAGTTCTTTTATGCGTGAGGCTCATCCAAGTGTGTGGAGAGTGCTCCCAGCAAGGCCTTGGCTGGGCCTCGGTGGTCTTCAGCTGTTGGGCCCTGGTGGAGACAGTCAGGCATAGGGTAGGAGACTCTGTCTTGTTCTCTCCCAGGAGCTGAGTGTGATGATCTCTGGATCCTGGCCGTTGTTGGAGTTACACGGCAGTTGGTGGGTGTAACTGTCTAGTTACTGGCAGGTCCAGTCCCAAACTGTACAGGCTTGGAGATCTCAGCCCCGGGTCCCACACACCTGGGTTCCTCTGTCAGTTCTTTTATGCGTGAGGCTCATCCAAGTGTGTGGAGAGTGCTCCCAGCAAGGCCTTGGCTGGGCCTCGGTGGTCTTCAGCTGTTGGGCCCTGGTGGAGACAGTCAGGCATAGGGTAGGAGACTCAGCTATGGTACTTATCTCAGCTATATTCCCTCTTCTCAAATTCAAACAGTATTGACTAGCTTCTTTCAATTGCTTTCCAATTGCTTTCCCTGCTACAGTGGTTTTTTTCCACAAAGATTTCAAGATACACTATGCCCTACCTGAATTTTTCCCAGTGATTATAAATATCTGTTCCTGGAATACATGCATGCCTATTGCTATAGCCATTGTCTGTGCTTCTGTGAGTTTGTGTGTGTTTTCCAGTGTTGTCTTTTCATTCTTTTTTTTTTTTGCTTTTTCGGGTCACACCCAGCGATGCACAGGGGTTACTCCTGGTTCATGCACTCAGGAATTACTCCTGGCTATGCTCAGGGGACCATATGGGATGCTGGGAATCGAACCTGGGCCAGGCCGCATGCAAGGCAAATGCCCTACCTGTTGTGCTATCACTCCAGCCCCCAATGTTGTCTTTTCGATGTGATAAAATATATAACATAAAATTCAACAACTAAGTCATTTTAAGCATACAATTTAGTGGAATCTAGTATACTTCCTTTGGTGTGCCAACAGTTGCTCTTTCCAGAACTTTCATCGTCTTAAACTAAGACTCTTATCCATAATACAATAAATCTCTATTTCCCTGTCTTGCTTAGTTACTCATTTAACAAATACATTGGCTAATAGGCACTGATATAACTAGAGCAGAAGAGTGGAAAACTTCCTTATTTCTGAAACTTAATTGTCATGACACTGAAATCAGATCATCCATTGCTGAAGATCAATCATTTTTTTCCCACTCCCCTGTTACATTTTTTTAAAACAATTTTTGAAGATCAATCATTTTAAAAGAGAATCTTACTGTATGACAAATCAAGTATAAAAGACAGATTGAAGTGAAAATTTATCCAATACTAATTTAGAATCTTTGGAATAAAATATTTAACCAAGATAAGTAATTGTAATTGACCCCTTGAAGGGCATCTGGGTTGTTCCTGGTTTGGGAAAGTTGCAGATGAAGCTGCTGCAAACACTTGTACACTTTAGCATTTTCTTAAACGTACATTTTCATTTCTTTGGGATCAGTACCCAAGATTCTAATTGTTGGAATGTGTGTACAGGCGCTTTCAGTTCTTTTGTAAGGAGCAACCAAACTTCTTTTCATTGCACCTGTACTTTTATATTCCTTCCAGTTATATGTGAGGTTCCAGCTTCTGCATCGCCTTCTCATCATTTAATGTTGTCACTATTTTTAAATTTTAGCCATTATGATAAGTATATGGCGTTATCTCATTGTGATTATAATTTGCATTTCCCTAATGACTAATAATGTTGAACATATTTCCATGTGCTTACTTGCCTGATGTTTGTGTTTCACCTGACTCCACTGAAAACTGTTAAAAGAACATGAAAGACAGAGAAGGTATTTTCCTTTGAAAATGAAACCCTGCAGATTTTGATTCCCAAACCCAGTCCTGAATAGATACAAGAAAACTAGCTATTAGTTCTATTGTTTATTAGTTATATGTGCTTTGAAAGCAAGGGCATTTTAGTCAAATGCATTCAGTCCTAATTATAATAGAATTCCTCTGCAGTAGATAAAAGAATTGATGAAATATCCCCTTTTTTTTCTTTTTGAGTTTCAATTATGTATTAGGTAGTAGGTCTTAATTTTAGGCATCCTTTATGAGCTATCATTATTATACATTATGCTTGGAAATACTCTGGCCTCTTTAATCTATAGTGATCTATTTATGTACTCTAAGTACATTCAATTCCTCTATCTTTCTAAATGCATTTGGGGACACTTGTTTGTTACAAAAAGTACATTTATGAATGCATTTTGTTTCATTTTTAGATTGTTAAAAGCTGTAAAGCTGCTTAGTCTCTGAAAATATCAAAATGCAATTACCTTCACATTTTGTTTTCTTTCTGAATAGGTATTTGTCTCCTTCCTTCAAATGTTTCCCCTTTATCTTTCACAGGTTGATTTAGTGAATATTGGAAGCACTGACATAGTAGATGGAAATCATAAACTGACTCTTGGTTTGATTTGGAATATAATCCTCCACTGGCAGGTAAGATCTTGATGAATATTTTCTAGTTGTCTGACATGTTGCTTATCCTTCCTTTCATTTTTACCCTTGACCTACAAAACGAACATGTATATGTCTAACCATACAAGGCACATTTTCACTGTGCTGACATCTAAGTTTGCACAGGTAATGTCATCTGTGATTTGAAAGACTGGTGGATAATAAAACAAGTTCTAGAACATTTTCAAGGATATTTTCTAAATTTTATTCCATGGGGTTTAATAAAAAAAAGGAAAAGACAGTCCAATGGCTTCATTAAAATATTATCCACAAATATGCATCATCTATAACTCATTCATATGAAATTATCTTATTTATAAAATCAAAGATATTTTTTACTGTCAATCATTGCCTTTTCGTAAATCTTGGTTACTCTCGATGTAAACCAATGTTATAAAAAGATTTGTGAACTTTGATAATCTTTGCGAGTATGTATTTTTTACAAATAGTCATTTCATAAATTTCTTGGGAAATTTTAATTTTTCCTAAGCCACCTCAGTATAAGGTCTCAACTATGTTTATGTTCATAGGACCTCTGAAAAAAGATCAAAGGTCATTTGGTGAAAACAATATATACACCTTTTGGATCACTCAACATGAACTTAAATTTCAACTCCCTCATTTACCATCTTAGTGATACTAGGCATAACACTGTCCCTTTCTGGATCATAATTTATCAGTGTCAAAAAATGATAGCTTGTAGACCAGAGTGATAGTACAGTGGGTAGGGACTTGCCTTGCATATAGCCAATCCAAGTTGGAACTTTGGCATCCCATATGACCTCACTAGGTGTGATCCCTGAACAAAAGAACTAGAAGTAAGTCCTGAGCACTACTGGATCTGACTCAAAAATAAAAAAGTTAACGTGAATATTTGTCAAGATTATATGAAAAAATCCATAAATCACTCTCAAAATACCATTTACATTAGAGATGTATCATTTGAATACATTTGATTAGAATTTTTACTCATGTTTTAATAATTTGGAGGGATAATTGAATAGTCTTCTCTTTTTTTACTAACTGAATACATTTTAGTAAAAGATATTTATAAAGATGTCATTTATAGAGCATAGCTTTTCCAATTCTACCTGTAAATTTCAAATTATACAAACTTGTTAAATTCTGTTCTTCAAAAAACAGTTGAGTATTTCTCAACTGTTATGAAGCTGGAAAGTTTCCCTCCTGCCCCAGTCTGTCAAAAATCTTAAGATATTTGCAGTGTTATGCAACCATTACAACAATCTAATATTAGCACATTTGTACTTCCTTAAACATAATTCTCATGCCCATATATAGTCACTTCCAACTTTATCCCAATCCTGGGCAAACAATCCATTTTCTGTCTCTGCATCTCTGTTTTTATATCAAAAGAATCATACAATATGTGTCCTTTGGTTGCTGGGCTCTTGCACAGAGTGTAATCTTTGAGTTTCATTTCTACTGTAATAGTAGATAATTTTATAGGGTTCATTTCTAACCCGAGGTATAGTTTGGTCCTGCTCAGTCAGACAGCATGAGCACCAGACATATACATACAAGCATGTGGACCAGACATATAAATACACAGTCATATTGTTCTCCAAGTGAATTTCATTAAAAAAAATTAAACTCACTGAACAGGCTCAAATCTATTTCAAAGTAAAAATGGAAGAGAAACTAAACCATAGTTTCTCCCAGCCTAGGATAGATCAACACAGTTATCAACAGAGCTCAAGATAGCTTATAGTTTGACGTCAAACTGTACAACCAACAAGGAAACAAAGGGTCCCCTATCAAACTGGCTTACTTCAGTTGCTTAGAACTTCTCAAGTTTCTTCAAATAATAGTTTCTAATATTTGTAAATAACAATCTAATGTTTTCCATTACATGTTCATTAAAATAAAATTAAAGCATAGCAAAAATGAAATAAATCACAAAAAACCCAAACCAACTTCTCTTCCCTCCCTCCCTCCCTCCCTTCCTTCCTTCCTTCCTTCCTTCCTTCCTTCCTTCCTTCCTTCCTTCCTTATTTCTTTCTTTCCCCCTCTTTCTTTTATATTTGTTTTGTTTCTGCCCTTTATCTGGTTGTGCTCAGGGGTTATTCTGAGCTCTGTGTTGGGGGTGGGGGATGCAGTGTCAGGATCAAACATAGGTCTCTCCCATGCAAAGCATGAATTTTAGACCTTTGACTCATTTCCATGAATCTCAGACCTTTGTAAAATCATAGAATTGAATATATTTAAATGGAATTTTGTATAATTGATACATTTTTTGTGAAGCTAGCTAGTTTTTATTGAAACTTATTTGGAAAGACCTGAGAGGATCAAAAGGAATAAGTACATATTCCAGGAATAAGTACATATTGGGAATAAGTACATATTGGGGCTGGAGCGATAGCACCGTGGGTAAGGCGTTTGCCTTGCACACAGACAACCCGACCGACCGGGGTTCAATTCCTCCACCCCTCTCAGAGAGCCTGGCAAGCTACTGAGAGTATCCCGCCCACACTGCAAAGCCTAGCAAGCTACTCGTGACGTATTCGTTATGCCAAAAACAGTAACAGCAAATCTCACAATTTGTTGTGAGATGTTACTGATGCCCGCTTGAACAAAATTGATGAGCAACGGGAGGGCAGTGCTGCAGAGCTACATATTCCAGAGACAACATGGGCTTCTCCAGAGTAGAAATAAACAAGCAAAGAAGAAGACAGGAAAATGAGGTATGTGTTCAAGGGAGAAGACAGGTTTGAAGAGGAGGAAAATACAAACATTTGAAAGAGCCTGCTATATTTATCTCATGACCCTGGAAAACATCATTCATGGAAGGAACATAGCTTTCAGAAAACAATTTATGTTGCAAAAACAGATAATGGCGTTGACAAAGCCAGCAAGTATACTTAGGCATGCAAGTTCTGGGGTGGGGGTGGGGGCACAAGTTTATTTTAATTGTCATCATCATTTATATGGCCTCACCTTTTGTCATCTCAAAACCCTTTCCAATGCCATCTGAACTCACCATTGACTGTTTTTAAAAATGCCATGTCTGATACTGTCATTAGCTCAGGAACTTGGTCATTAAAAACTAGTATGTAGGGAAGTAATCATTCTCACAAAAACCAAAAAGAATGCTTTTGTATCCTTTCCCTCTCTGATGGAGCGCTATTCAGGTCTCGAATAAACAAAGCCATGGTATTGCAAGGATGAAAACTCTCCCCAACCTCTCTGCCCTTAATTTTACACCTCTTCTGACACACTTTCCTGTTCTACTAAACAGAGTTTAAAACTACTAGACATAGTTGAAAAGTTCCACCTGCTCAGTATTCTTCATCATAATGGATTTCCATTCATAGTTCACTAAGAGTGCATATTTGCACTCTCACTCATTAACAAAACCTTTGGATCTCAAAAACAATTAAAAGGCACTCTGGGCCAGCTAAGTGTACTTACCACATCTCTCAGATTAAGAATGAAATTGAGGACTGGAATTAAAACACCACAGGCAGGGCACTTGTTTCACATATTGCTGAGCTGGGTTGATCTCTTGCAGCCCATATGTTCCCTTAAGCCTTGGCCGAAATGATCCTTGAGCACAGAGCCAGGAGTAAGCACTGAGCATCATGGGGGTGTGGTCAAAAAACATTGGAATTGAGGAAGTACGATGTTTACCTTAACCCAGCTGACCGGGTTCTCATAAGATCTTCGGCACTTCTACTTGTGGTATCCCCACCCCCTTCAGGAGTGATCCTACATCACAGAGCCAGGTATAAACCCAGTGGCAGTGTGATCCCAAAGCAAACAAAAGTTATGAAATTGATATGACATTATGTGAACTCTTGTGACGGTGCAGCATATTAGGTTTTCAATGATGCTGTGGAAAACTTCTCCTTGAACATGAAAAAATGCAGGGATGTGGACACTACATCCTGGTTTTCTGGTTTCCATATAAATTGTTAGACTGAAATATAATGCTTATACTGGGAGTTAGTGGCTTGTGAACAAACTGATTAAGTTGACAGTGTGTGTGTGTAGAGTTTTCCTCCTTTATTAAAACATGAGCCATCCTTTGTAGGGGGTTCAGCTCAGTGCTGGTAACCAGTACGAGTTAAAAGTAGTACATTCTGCTAACAGTATGGGCCTACTGGAAGTCAGGTCTGCACCTTCACTTGTCACTGTCACTGTTCTCCCGTTGTTCATCGATATGCTCAAGCGGGCCCAGAAACATCTCCATTGTGATACTTGTTACTGTGTTTGGCATATTGAATACATCACAGGTAGCTTGCCAGGCTTTGCTGTGCAGGTGAGATACTCTCAGTAGCTTGCCAGGCTCTCCAAGAGGGGAGGAGGAATCAAACCTGGGTCGGCCAGGTCCGCCACGTGCAAGGCAAATGTCCTACCCACTGTGCTATCGCTCCAACCCACCTTCACTGGCTAACAGAGCAAATTCTCAATTCCAGGATGACTTTCGATATATGTCTCTGTGGTGAGTCCTACCTCTAAACTCCTGACAACAGAGAGCCTTCTGCACTACACGGTTTTTCCTCAGGTCTTTTTCCAGGACTTACTTTCTAGAAAACTCTTCCTATTCCTCATGCTGCAATTCCTTTCTATTCACAGGATGGGTTCTGGGAAATTAGTATTCCATTTATCAGGCAAGATATTATTTAAGATGTGCTTTTAGGCAAGAGACATAAGGAACTTGCACTTGTCATGTGTCACGTGTCTCCCCAACACATCCATGAGTGATCTCTGAGTATAGAGCCAGGAGCAAGCCCTGAGCATGCTGGGTGTGGCCGAAAGCATTGAAAAAGTTGGGGGCAAGCCTTAGGGACCAATAGCTGTGAATAACCAGGGTAATGAGAGGGAGAAAATGAAGTGGACTATACACCCCGACCAAAAGCTTTATTCAACACCTGCAGAACATAGAGCCTCAGGGACTTCTATGTATTTATTTATCTTTTTGGGGGGCCACACCAGAAAAAAATGGTTCGGGGGATGACATGGGATGTCAGAAATTAAACCTCTGTCAGTTGTGTGCAAAGCAAGCACCCTACCTGCTGGACTGTCTCTCCAACCCCTGATGGCTCTCGAGTGCTGATCTGCTTGGTGCTGAAATGGTAGATTCTTTTTATCATTTCCCTTCACCAGCCACTAGATGGCAGCTTCCACAGGAAGGGTGTATCCTTAAACTATAGGATGATGCAATTTAAGTAGCCCTGACAGTTGAAGACTTGGAGGCCTGAAATACAAGAGATCTTCATTGGAGGAGAATCATGGCAGTCTATCCCCAAGGAACTCTTGGCCACTTTTTGAAATAATTTCTCAGACATTTAAATATTTTTGAGTACCGGGGGTGGGGGGTGGGGGTGGGGGGGTGGGGATCTGTCCACCCAAAGGGTTCTCAGGGCCTAGGGCTATTCTCATACTTGGCCTGTCTTTGCAGATCAGATGGTTCATTGTTTGCCTCTAAGAAGCAGCCCTGCCTCGGCCCAGGAGTGATGTTATCACCAGGATGACACCCAGATGCTTGTGGGCTATGTGGTGCAGGGGATCCAACTCCATACCTCATGCATAACAGATGTATGCTGAGGTATTTCGAGTTATCTCCATAGCCCCTGTATTTTTTTTAAAAAAACAACTCTTGTATGCCCCAATTTTTGCACAGGCATTTGAATCCATTCGTTCTGTCTTGAGAATAATCAAATCTAAGGGCGGGGGATTTTTCCACTTAAAAATTCAAGTTAGGATCATTTCAGTGTCTCCCTGAAGGTTGATATAATAAAAATTTCTTGGTAACTGTCTTCTATGTAGGAAAAGAACTGATCATCTCAACTGCCCTTTATTATTTTTTTCGTAGCAACATTTTATACCCAAGTAGAAGCAATACCAATGAGGGCGATAAGCTGAATTAGTGACATAATGATGCTAAAGGAGTTTTGCATTAAGTACTGTTTGTCTTCTAACATTATGCGCATAGAGGGCAGTCTGGCCAAGCAGTTCACAAATGAATCCCATTCATCAGGGGAGGGTTATCTGATGGGGGCAAATCCATTACTACCACCAAGCAAGTATCTGCTAATTCCAAGTCTGCTTCTGTACAGAACACAAAACACACATTCTGCAATTGCTACTAATGGAGGTTGTGCTCTTTATACGTTTAGAATATGATGAGAAAAATTACTTCTCTTACATAAGCATTTGACCTATTTAGTCACAAAGTGACTAAATATGCAGATTTAGGAGTAAATTAAGAAAGAACAGGAGTAATCCAGCCTGTAAACAATGGATTGTGCTATGGAAGGATGGCCGCATATGCAAAGATTTCACATCTTCACATCATTACCACGTTGGCAAAATGTCATCTAAAATCTGTTTCAAGTATTTTAAAGTTTGATTTCATAATGTATTGTAAAATTTACATTGAGTCTCATAAAAGTGATGACTATAACATTGGAGATGTAAAAATACATATTCTTCGCCTTCGCCCCCCCCCCCCCCCCCGCCCCCCGCGCCCCAGGCATTTGTGAAGTTCTAGGAGGACACAGGAGCAAAATAAAATGTCACGTTTATAATGCATGATAAATATTCATCATCTGATCAAATGTTGGTAGTATATGGATCTTACATTTCCCCAAAGGCATGCCCTTGGTGGTCAAAACTAATCATATTTTCATACATACTTCTTTTAAGAGTAAAACAAGGGTCTGAATTGTGTTAAATAAGTAGCGGAGTAATTATTCTTTTTTGCTCCCTAACAAAACCCTTTTTTTGTTGTTGTTGTCGTTTAACAAACCTAATTGTTTCCATTTGGCCCATTGTTTGGGAGTGTGTCCGGGGGTGATTTAAAAGTTGCGTGTGGCTGCAGCGAGAATCAGCCTCTCTCCAAATAGCAATGCAGAGGGTCCGGGCTAGGTGAAGGAGACTAAGAGTTGTGTTTAAGGGGCAGCTTTTCAAAGAGATCCTTGCTCACCCGCACGTGGGGGCCAGCCTGCTTGGCTAGGTTGTTCAGGGGCTGCCCATCTCCCTGATGAGTTTCACCTGCTGTCTAGGCAGTGGCTCTCGTGGAAGACACTGAGGTAGGAGTCCGGGCTGGGGGTGTGCATGGTTGTGGGGCGTGGAACCCTGCACTCACGTCTCAGAGCACACTCCCTGGACTGGAATGCCATGATGTCTCCTCGCTGGTTTTGCATATTCAAGTCATGCTCATGACCCTTGCCTTTCCACGAGCAGGGGGTCAGGGTCTCTGACCCTGAAGCTAGCTGGAGTCAGCTCTGGCTTTGGAAATGGAAACCCAGCGGATGCCCTGAATCTGGTAGTGGGTAGTGGACGTGGTTTCCAAGTGGGTGGAATTGTTCTGAGGAAGTGGGGAGCTTATAGCTTTGGGGCATATTGTTAATTGGCGGTGCTTTGGAGGAGAAGGTGATTCTGAGAAGTGAGAACAGGAAAAGACTTTGGAGGGGATTGGTTGGAAGCTGGGAGGGGCACCCGGGGTCTGTAACTTCTGAACCCTATGGAAGGAAAGAAACTGCTCCTGAAATCTCACCGGGTCCCTGTCGTCAGTCACACCCTGCTCGAACTCTGGGGAAAATCTAGGATTGGTTTGTGCATCAGATTAGTTGGAAGAAGGAAAGTTGGATATGCAGCAGCTTTCTGGAAGGCAAGTGAAGGCGGCCAAAGCTGCAGGGAGTATAAAATCTATGAAAATTAACTAATATAAACGGAAGCTGCACATCTTTTGTGTTCCGGGAAAAATACTCCGGGTTTTATTTTCATTTTTTTGGTTGGTAGGATTGTTGCTTTTTAAGTTCCTGTTTCTTTGGTCTTTAATTGGACAGACTTTTTTGCTTTTCACTTTGGTCAGTAAACAAACGTTTAAGTGATAGTATAAATGTCGGGACTTTTATCTGTGTATTGTCTTTTGATGCTTATAGCAATCTTGTATATGTATTGTAGTTAAGGAAATGGAGATCTATAAATTTAAGTGGATTGTTCAGTTAATGGGATTTTTAAAAAATTAATTTTCAGTGAGGAGGGATATGTAATTTAAAAAAAGTGTTTTCCTTCCTTCCCTTTCTGTTTCACTCCCCAAGTTTCTCTGCTGGAGATTAACTTCTTCTCTGTTTTCTGTTTGTCTTTATTATTAAAAAAATTTGGAGGGGGTACCAGGAGAGAGTACAGTGGGCAGGCACAGGCCTAGGGCCCAACTGATCTCCTGCCCCTCAGGGTCCCCATGGCATTGCTGGGGTTCTGTGCTTGGGAACCAGCTTTGCCTGGATGAAACTGGGGTGGAAGGTGCTTTAACCCCTATGACGTTCTAGCCTGTAAAGGCAGCATTTCATCTGAAACTTTTAAGAAAAGTAATAAACCAGGGGCTGGAGTGATAGCAAAGCGGGTAGGGCATTTACTTTGCACGTGGCTGACCCGGGTTCAATTCCCAGGGTCCTATATGATTCCCTGAGCACCACCTGGAATAATTCCTGACTGCAAAGCCAGGAGTAACCCCTGTGCATCGCCAGATGTGACCCAAAAAGAAAAAAAAGTCTGATACCGCAGGGTCCAGAAGTACCTTTGAACAGGTTCAATAACTGGAACAGCACAAGCACCAACCAGAATAGATAACCAGTTGGCATGAATTCCATCAGTCATTTCTCATGACCACTGACACTGACGTTCCCACTGTGTATCAATGAAGATGAGGACATTGAAGTTCACATGACTTTGTTCTTAAGGCATATATGTTAAGCAAATTTCTTTCCACTCCTAGGTAAAAAATGTAATGAAAAATATCATGGCTGGATTGCAACAAACCAACAGTGAAAAGATTCTCCTGAGCTGGGTCCGACAATCAACTCGTAATTATCCACAAGTTAATGTCCTTAACTTCACCACCAGCTGGTCGGATGGCCTGGCTTTGAATGCGCTCATCCACAGTCATAGGTAAGGACATGATTGTAAAAGTCCCTAAGTTTGTCAAGTTTCCTTTAGAAATTTCCCTCCGTGTGGTTTCCCATGATAGAGGTGGATAACATGAATCTAACCACCCATTACATGTGATGAACTGAATAGGGATATTCTGGGTTTGTAATGTGATCTATTGTTTACTGAAATGCTAAAATTAGTGGAACATGAATGTGGTTATGGTGGAGGGATCAACATATGTGAAATTTGGTCTTTGCCAGAAATTCAAAATTAAATGCTGTTTCTTTGAGTAGAACTAGCCTTGCTGTAAAATAATGTACTCCCTGAACCCTAAACTTGAAAGCAAAGAATGATTCCAAATATGTGTTTGGCTGTAATAAAATCAGTTACCAACAATTATTATGTCAAAACAGAGGCTTTTTCTTGTTAGACACACACTTAAAAATAAGATACTTTAAGACCCTGACTGTATATAAATGAAAATATATGTATACTATGTTCATATATGTATATATTTATATTTCCATATGTGTATGAATATATATATTCCTCCCTGGATTATAAGAGATGGGAATGAATATATATTCTTTTTTTATTAATGTAGGAGTACTGCTATTTATTCAGCCACTGATTAGCTGATTGAATTGTGCATGAACTCCACCTTACTTTTTTTTCATTTTTTATAATTTTATTTATTGAATCACCATGAGAGCAGTTACAAAGCTTTTGGGTTTAAGTCTTGGTCATACAATGAAACACCCATACCTTCACCAGTGCCCGTTCTCCACCCCCAACAACCCAGTATGCCCCCATCCCACACCCTCCCCCTACCTGTGGGCAGATGATTTCCACATTACTCTCTCTCTCTACTTTGATCACATTCAATATTTTGACACCAGACCCACCATTATTATTTGAGATTTTACCCCAACACTCAGATCTGCTGAAAAGGCAACAATAGACAATTTGCTCTCTATTGCTGGTTATGAACAACATATAATGTCGCATGGCTGCAGTAGTGGCCACGTGATTTTGAAATTCCAAAATTTTAACACAAATCTGGAGGGATTTCTGCCAAAACCTGCTGGGTTCCGAGATTTGCTCCTGAGTCTCTGGGATCATGGCCGTTAGGCAGCTTGATTAGGAGCCAGAAAGGCCGTTTGTGGGCGATGACTTGGGGTCTCGTTGGGGTGGGGAGGACAGAACTGGCTCCACTCCCATCCCGTGAGGCCCAAAATGTCTTGTCACTGCGGGCCCAAACCCGACTGTCCAATGGCCTCTGGAGGATGGCAGCCACTGAGCCGCCAGGGGGAAGCAGGTGGAGGGACAACACCCTTTTTCCCCCTGGGGTGGCCCGGCAACAGTAACCTACTGCGGGTTCCCGACGCATTTCTGCCAAAAGCTGCTGGATTTTGAGATTTGTTTGAGTCTCTGGGATCATGGTGGTTAAGCAGCTTGATCAGGAGCCAGAGAGGCCGTTCGTGGGCAATGACTTAGGGTCTCGTTGGGACGGGAAGGACAGGACTGGCTCCACCCCATCCCGTGAGGCTCAGCAAGTTTCGTCACTGCGGGCCCAAGCCTGACTGTCCAGTGGCCCCTGGAGGATGGTGACCATTGGGCCGCCAGGGGGAACAGGCCAAGGCACAAAACCTATTCCCACCTGGGTTAGTCCAGCACCGGTAACCTACTGCAGGGATTGGATGCATTTCTGCCAAAAGCCGCTGGATTTCAAGATTTGTTTCTGAGTCTCTGGGATCATGGCTGTTAAGCAGTTCAATCAGGAACCAGAGAGACCACGCCTCCAATTATATAGCTGAGCCGGAGGTGGTTTGTGGGTTTGTCTCCCACATACCTAACTTTTGGCCATTTGTTTTCTTGGTAAACTTTGCCCTAAGTTTTTGGGATTTGGCCAAAGACACAGCAGCAATTTTGGGGTATCTGGAAGTCTGAAGGTGCCATCAGGCTGCTGATGCACTTGCTTCACAGGTACAGATTGACCTGCTGGCGGCACCATACCCCCGATGAATATATATTCTGAGAATCTTCATAACTAAGGCAAAGAGCACAACTCAGTTCTTTGCCTCTGTTCATTCTTAGAATTCAAAAGGAACAATTGTTCTCTACTAATAAAACAACTGCCATAACTATGCGTTATTCTGCGGCTCTTCATAAAAAATAACAGAGTGATGTAGAGCAGTGGTTTTCAAACCTTTCCAACTGTGGCACCTTTGTCCTACCAGTTGGTCCTCTAGTCTCATGTCCTGCCCTCTCTGTTTCCATTAATTTCCTTTGTGACTCCCTTGCACAACTCCATCTGGTCCTGGTTGAGAAACACATGTAAAGAACCGAACCTAACTCTATCCCAAGGATGATGTACTTGCTAAGATGACAAAATAGTTGTCTGCTTTCTTCTGCAAGTGTATTAGCAACAGTTCAAGGGAAAGCAAAAGAACGTAAGTCTATATATGTTTTATATATCAACACGTGTAAACATATTTATAAATATATGTGAAGTACACTATTATTCATTTCTTCCCTAGCCCAATCTCCCAAAGACTTTCCCTCATGGACTGGACTGAATTTCCCCTGATTTCCATGGTGGCTTATTTTTTCTCACTTTGATCTTTCTTCTACTCACAAGGCTACCATAGTTTATGCCAATTTTGCACCTCCAAAAGTTCAGAATATAAATTTGCCTTCTAGTAAGACTGTTATGTGCAAGCAAACGCTAAACCAGCTTCCCCGCAGCTGTCTTGCTCCAGCTGGGTTTAATTAACCCCATCCAGACTGAGTTTCCAGGTGAATGACTCAGCAACCTGAATTTCAAAAGGAGGCAGGCGTGCACTCAATTGGCATGTTAAGCAATGTGAACATGTTGTTTTTCATAAGTGTGACGGGACAAAAAACACTGCACAGCTTTAATACTGCCAGATGAGAAGGAAAAGAGACGTTGACGCTGCATTTTAAGTCAGAGCTCATTCTGCCACATGCACTTCCCAGCAAGGGCCTGAGCATTTGCATCTCGCAGTCCAGACACACATTTGCAGAGGAACAGAATTATCCAGGAGCACGTTTCATACTCCTACGTGGCTCTTGAACCAAGTGGAACCCTTTAGTCCTGCAAGCGTGTTCATATACACCCCATTAGTTAATATTCTCTCCCAGGATTTCTGAATGTATTTCTAATACAGGAAACATAGCCAGACTGCCCTCTACATCTGCCCGACTCTCTCTAATAAAACCTCACTTAGAGGTCCTTGCTTGCCAATAATTGAATGACTCACCAGTAACTAGCTTGTTACACAAAAAAAGGGTAAATTTCAGGAGTTCCCTCACAGTCAATAATGCTCTTTCATGAGTCATCGCCCTCTTTTTTTTCTTGCCTTTGACAGATGTTTAGACTGTCTAGCTACAGAAATAAAATGGTGCTAGTTGCTGTTCCAAGGTGATTGTCCTTGGCATACTTAGGAGTGTCCCAAAGTGACTTGCTTTCAGTAATTGAATGACTAAGCCCTATAGGACAAAGGCAGGCACTTAATGTAGAGCACTGGGATTGACCAAGATCCTCCACAGAGTTTCAGATACTGGTGGTTTTACATCTGTTTAAGGATAAATTACATCTTAACTTAGAGGCAGTGAAAAGTTTTCTTCTTTTAAAATGCAGCCGCCACTCCAGTGCAGTGTAAAGGAAGCTGGATTCTACTTTTATGGGAAAGCAAGTGATTAGAAATATGCTCAAAATATGCATATTATATAAAGTGCAATGAATTATTTTCCTGGTTCATTTTGACCAGAGCAGTAGCAGAGCACGTGATTAAAAAATAATCAGACATTAGAGAGGGGAGCGGAGGAAAAAAATGTATTTTCATGACCTCCACTCCACCTTATCTCATGCAACTAAAGCTTATCACTAACAAAAATGATATTTATTCTCTGAGGCTTTGCATAATCATGGATATTTTATTTCCGGTTCAATTTGTCCCTTAAAGTATATGGATTTTCGCTTTAATGTGAAGCTCACAGATATTACCCTCAGCCCCATCTGGTTTCTCATATTAGTATTAAATTATACTCACTTTATTCGTATAATTGTTGTCTGTATTCTTTTAAGTGATAGCGAAATACCATTTTCCATTAAGTTTAGACAAGACACACTACCTGATAGGAAAGATGAGAAACTCGACACACTGGCACTTTGACTCTCTCCTCTTGACACCTCCCATTTTGTTCATTATATTATTATAATGGCATCAAATGGGTTTATGACATTTATATCTGTGCTGTAAGTATAGGTGTTCTCAGCTTAAGTCTGCAAGTTGGAAATAATTTCTTGTTATTTGACAAATACAATTTTAGAGAACAGTACTAATGAAAATTCATTTTTTAAACTGTCATTATTTCGTAGGCACTTTCTAGGTGAAATAGCTCATCTGTTTCTCCTGATAAGGGATAGATCATTATCCTTATTTGACTAATTGAAAAATGGAGACCTAGAGAGGTTATGTAATTTACCTAAGAACTTTTGATTGATAAGCAGTAGATCTAGAGTTCAAGTATTTAGAGGACTTAATGGTGTCCTATTCTTGATGTCAATTTCTTCAAAAGACTGGTGATCCTGGGTTATGATTTGTATTTATGAGTTATGGTTCAGATTAGCATGGAAGAATATGTGGCTTTTCTCTAAAGCCAGCTTGTTTTACAATTCTCAATGCATTTGATAATCATGGTGATTTAAAATGTTAAATGATTATGAATTTTAATGAGTTAAAACAATTAAGTGGATTAATTTTAATGCTAGAAGAGACCTCAAAGGCCATTCAGTACAGTTCCTTCTCTTAAAAATGAAAACACTGAAGCTCAAATGATTACATGACTTAGATAAGATAAATCCTCACATAGGTTATTAGTTAGTGGCCAAGGAGAAGCCAAAGAGCTGAAATTAAATGGGTTAGAACACAAAAGCAATTAAGTTCCTTTTTCCCTTCATATTAATTTTAGCCTTGATTATTGTACCTGCAGTGGAAAAGTTGTTTTCCCGCACCTACATTCCATATTCTGTTCTTCTCTATTCTTTTCTGCTCCCCTTGCCTTGTGATAAAGAATTGAAGAAAAACATAGGTTTTGTGGTAATGTGAAAACCTCCCCGATAGTTTCAAAATTCATTTTAATTTCTGTTTCTGCAACTACAGGCAGTTGCCAAATTGTCCTTATTTTTGTTTCTACAAGTTTATTTGCTGTTTTGAGTAGCAGGAATATATACATTTCCTTTAAAACTGCACAGAATCAGGGCTGGAATGATAGCACAGCAGGTAGGGTGTTTGTCCTGCACATGGCCAACCCTGGTTTGACTCCCAGCATCCCATATGGTCCCCTGAGCACTGCCAGGAGTAATTCCTGAGCGCCGAGCCAGGAATAACCCCTGTGCATTGCCAGGTGTGACCAAAAAAGCAAAAACAAAACAAAACAAAACAAAAAAACTGCACAAAATCTGTCAAATCAAGGTACGGCGAGAGAAAAGGAAATGAGAAAATATTGTATCTTTCTTTTGAAATAGGGTTTCAGAGTTCCCAGCTTAGCCCATGGTTAACTCTTTTGTCCCTGCATTTCTTAAGCAGGAATACATTAAGAGACCCAAAGTCTTAAAATTGTTTGTAAATTAAGTTTATTTAAAGAAAGGGGCAGTCATTAAACATCAGTGACTCTCAGATTTTTACGTGTTATTTTGTGGTCCAGAGAAAGTGAAGGCCCACTGAATTAATGGTTCCCTTGTCATTGCGTTAAATGTTTGTTTTTGAAGAAAATTTATTTTTGTTTTGACATTAGCCTTAATATTTTCCCTGTGTACTGCACCCCCCTCAGCATTCTCAGATCACAGTTGTATTGACTCAGTCTCAGGATTGTTGTCACTGGGAATTCTCCATTACCTTGCTTTTTCCTCATATTTCACAAATGAGTGAAATCACCTGGTGTTCCAGAGCTACCTAGACGTTTCTTGAAGTCATCCAAAGCCCCACTTAGAACAATGTCTTTCACCACTTGATATTTGGACCTTCCCATGGACTCTGGTCTGAATGCCTTGACTTAGCATGGACTTTTGCCTTCCCTAAAAGCTTTGATTCTCAAATATTCATACTGAGGACATAATTTAGAAGTATGTTCTCAAATATTATTAGTCAAAACCATTTAAGACTCTGACATCTTCAGATTCAGTAAGTCTTACATCTTGTTCATATTTGGAATTTGACTTACCTGCACAATTTTTCGTATTCACCAAGAATTGTCTCCTTTGTGTTTCTCTACAATCCTTCATGCTTCTAAAAAAGAACCATTGTCTTGGTAATTAAATTAAAATTTGTGTTTGTTCTCTGATGTAGCCAACATTTATTTATATATATGTACTCCGTATATAAAGATGTAGTTGCAATGTTTATGTATAATTTTGACGTGAGACTAGGCAATTTGGGATAAGGGAGAAGGCTGGGAAAAAATGCCAGTAATGTAAGTTTTGAGTGAAGCTTCAAAGGGAAGGTGGCACCATGGCAATATATGGGGCATATGGAGAGATGGGGACAGAATCCAAGCAGAAGAATAAACAAATGCAGGAAATTCATCTGTTTGTAGAATGTAAAGAGAGAGAAGATATAAATTCAGAGTTGATGGAGAGCCAGACCATGTTGGTCCTTGGTAGTTTGCACTAAAATAGGTGGATTTTACCCTACTGCTAGCAGGAGAATGAGAAACTATTAATATATTTTACCAGATTTTTTCAGCAGCTCTGCTGAGAATAGAAGGTCATGGACCAGGGTGTGAGTGACGGAAAGGGAGAACTAAGATAAGAACTCATGCAAGGTGAAACGAAGGTTTAGTTTAAAATGATGGCACAGAGTGACCAAATTCTGAATCTACCTCCCACATGAGGGAAAAAAACTCATCAGTGCTGGCCCTAAGTTTTCTCAATAGAGCATTTAAAAAATATGAACATGACCTTGATACTTGAAGAGGGAAGAACTGCAAGGAAGTGATGGGTTTGAAGGAGGCAGTGAGGGTGAGTCGAGTGTCAGCTCAGAGTCTTGTGAATGAATAAGTGGAGACAGAGAGATAGCCAGTAAAATTTGAGTCTGGACTTCAGGTAAGAGGTCTGGATGAGACTTGTAAAATCAAAGTTTTTAGCAAATGCCAGGTATATAAATTCATGAGATGAACAAACCTTTTTTGCTCGGAACAGATAAAATAAATTCTCCTTAGTTTTCCTCGGGACTCATTTAAACTGTGACTTTTTAAATAAGAAGTGTTACTGTGAGTTTTTGAAAAAATCTTAAGGACTAAGGGTAGGCATGGTCTGTCAAAAAGGCAGAACTGAATCTCATAGCACTTTCTAAAAAATGATTAATATGTTTCCTTGCATGTGCGTTTGTTTCAGGCCAGACCTGTTTGATTGGAATAGTGTGGCTGGTCTGCAGTCAGCCACACAACGTCTGGAACATGCATTCAGCATTGCCAAACATCACTTAGGCATAGAGAAGCTACTGGATCCTGAAGGTTGGTACATTTCTAGAATACCTGTTTTAATATTGCTGAAGATTTGTTGTCTCAGACTTTGCATTTCCACAAACCTGGCATAAAATAGAAACTGCATCATGTTTTCCTGTATTTCAGGTATGTTTGAAATGTTCTCACCTCTACTTGCAGTAAGTTATAAATTAAATTCTCAAACTCACAATATCTGAAATTAAAGGGTGAAACTTTAGAAAACACCCTAAGCCTTGAGAATATGTAATCTTCATGGATGGCATGAATTACATTTCGAGTACATTGACTCCGAATAATTATAAAAAGTTCATGTTTTGCTTATTCTACCAAGAGACTTGATAGACTAATCAGCTATAATTAATTAGCTGCTCTTGCCAAATTCATTCATATACTCTATAAAAGGCAAAATGGTTTACTGTTTAAATCAGGAACTCTATTTCTGGCTCTGCTTCTGTTATAATTTGTCGCTCAGGGGGATGTCCTCTATTGAATTGTTATTCCCTTTCTGCTTTTGAAGTTGACAGACAGTATTGTATTTATCTTTTTATTATACTACACTAAATAAATTTTGTTCTTAGATCTGGTGCTACAAAGCCATACCTTCTCTATGGATGGATTAGGGGAGATATTGTGTTTTGACCTCTGCTTTTCCTCTAGTCTCTAAGGCAGTCTTGTGATTTGCTACTGTGTTTGAAATGACCTACTCAACTCTCACTTTCTTGTGGTATTTTGACATGCCCACACCAGAAATTGGTGAAGTAGCATCAGTGGACTTGGTAGCTGCTATGTTAAGTGAACCAATCTCTCTGTTGACCTACATAATCCAATGGTCTTTATAATATTGAATAAATTCCAGATAAGAAGATCCTCAAAAGGCAGTGATAAGTTTCATGAGGGAAGGGCAAGAAATAACTCATAAGGTAGTCTTTGATTGGTGAATGTATCAGAACCCAGAAGTTTAGTCACCAGTATTCCAGATCTAAACACTGGATTCTCTAGTTTATTGATAGCAGACTTGGTAGTGGTGTGTACACAATTAACTTTAAACGTGCTCTGAATAGGGTCTATTAAGTAAAATGGAAATTAATTTAAGTGAGGCACAAATAATAAGACCTTGAATCCTTTTGTCTTCTTGATCCCTAAATAGCTCTTGGTAAGCTTGTGTTGCTTGGGAAGGAAAATAACACAAATGAATTTTTGAAGTTGGTAATCAGACTATATTTATTAAACATGCCTTTTTCCCTTTTAGAAAATGAATAGCTGGCTTTAACTCCCATAACTTCTTTATTGTTGCCTCAGTAGAAGAGTATCCCTCCTATCCCAGTTTAGTTCTAAGGGGAAAATTATAGTCATCATTAGTCTGTAAGTTCTTGCTTTGCAGGATGGCAAAGGATTTCCTCGCCGCTGACTTCTGCTACTAGTTCATCTGTTTCTCTTATACTCTGTTGAGGTAGAGAGAGCAAACATAATGAAAATAGTGGTTTCAACCCCTGAGGGTAAGAATTTATAAGATGTATGGATGTGAAGAATCAGCCCGTTAATGGGTTTCTGTTTTCCCATATTGAGGTCTATTACAGTTACCTGGAATATATGCTCTCGTTATTTTTGGGTGTGCCCAATGGTATCATAAAATAGGAAGTGTAGATTCAAATAGAGCTTTTCCTTGTTAAGTGGTAGAACATAGTCAAATTAGGATGTGTTAAACTATCACGATTTGCTGAGAACACAATGTACATACAAACTGTAAACTTGCCTTTTCATCTCTAAGTACTCTTTCACTTAATGAATTGGGGGAATTGGATAGTTCATCCACATGATAAAAGATGTAGATTGATGGCTGGAGCGATAGCACAGCAGTAGGGCATTTGCCTTGTGCTCAGCCAGCCTGGCCAACCTGGGTTCGATTCCTCTGCCCCTCTCAGAGAGCCCGGCAAGCTACCGAGAGTATCTTGCCTATGCGGCAAAGCCTGGCAAGCTACCCGTGATGTATTCAATATGCCAAACACAGTAACAACAAGTCTCAAAATGGAGACATTACTGGGCCCACTCGAGAAAATCGATGAACAACGGGAGGACAGTGTTTGTTTGTTTTGATGAATTGTATTGAAATTACAGCAGGTAGGGTAAGTGGTCAACAGATGTTTAATCCCCAGGACCCAATATTGTCCCCTGAGAAATCTAGGGGAGCAGAGAGTTAAGAGTAAGCCCTGCACACTTCCAGATGTAGCTCAAAAACAAAAACTAAAACAATAAAAAGATTGATTGACCTATAATTAGCAAAGGCAGTTATATAATGTATTTTATATCCTGAAATTTCCTGGTATATCAGTTCTTTACGCTTTCTCAAATGGAATCTATGTATTATGATGCATAAAATATAGGCTAGAGGAATGCCATTATAATATCTCCAATGTTAATATTCAAGGTCAACCAAATATAATAAAACAAGAGATTATGACATTAGTTGTGGTTAAATTTTGCCAGGAAAATATTTTTTTTAAAAAACCTATTTCTATTGAGAATTTATTTCTTGTTGGGTGACAGGAGGTTTAATATGGAAATGTTTTAGAACAGAGTTTCTGTTAGTGGAACTTTTTTGTTCATTTAGCTTTGACGTATTTCTAAATCTTGTATAATAGCATTTTGACACATTCATGATATACAAATATTTTTTCCCATTCAGTAAAATGTCTTTTTATTTGTTTGGGTTTTTTGTAAGATATTTTTATTATTTTACACTGTGAGATAGACACTTAGAAAGGCATTAATGATTAGGTTTCATTCATAGAGTTTCAACACTCATTTCTCCACCAGTGTACATTTTCCAGCACGAGTGTCTCAGTTTCCCTCCCATCACCAGCCCCCAGCCTGCCTCTATGACAGGCAATTTTCTTCTCTCTCTCTTTCTTTCTTTCTTTCTTTCTTTCTTTCTTTCTTTCTTTCTTTCTTTCTTTCTTTCTTTCTTTCTTTCTCTCCTTTTAGGCATTGTGTTTTGCAGTGCAGATACTGAAAAGCTATTGTTCTATATCCCTTTACCTACTTTTAACACTAAGTTCTTAGCAAGTGTGATCATTTCCAACTATTATTTTCATACTGGTACCTTCTCTATCTTACCTACTCTTCACCCTCCACACACTTGTGGTAGATTACAACCATTGACCAGTCCTCCTAGACCTTATTTTTCCTGGCCTTGGATATTAGTCTTCTACTATACATATATGCAAATATATATGTGTGTGTGTGTGTGTGGTTTGTGTATATGTATATATGTATATATATTATATACCACAAAGGAGTGAAATCATTCTATATCTGTCCCTATCATTCTGAGTATTTTAACTCAGCATGATACTCCATGTCTATCCATTTGTAGGAAAATTTCATGACTTCATTTTTCCTAATAGCTGCATTGTATTCCACTGTATATATGTACCATAATTTCTTTATCTATTTGTCTGTGTCAGGTACTCAGGTTGTTTCCAGATTCTGGCTATTGTGAGTGCTGCAATGAGCATAGAAGTGTAGATAGTGTTTCTGCTGTGTGTTTTAGGGACTCAAGGGTATATTCCCAGAAGTGGTATTACTAGGTCAACTGGGAGCTCAATTTCTAGTTTTTTGAGGAATGTCCACATTGTTTTCCCAAAAAGGCTGGACCAGTCAGCATTCTCATCAGCAATAAATTAGACTCTCTTTCTCCCTGCATCCACGCCAGTACTGCTTGTTCTTGTTATTTTGGGTGTGTGCCATTCTATGGTGTGAGATAATATCTCATTGTTTTTTTGACTTAAATCTCCCTGATGATTAATGATGAAGAACATTCTTTCATGTACCTTTTTACCATTCAAATATCTTCTTTGAGAAATTTCTGTTCATTTTTTCCTCCACATTTTTTGATGGAGTTGGATGTTTTTATCTTGTAAAGTTCTGTCAGTGCCTTGTATATCTTTGATATTAATGCCTTATCAGATGGATCTTGGATCAATAACCTTTCCCATTACATAATCTGTCTTTGTATCTTAGTTACTGTTTCTTTTGAGGTGCAGAGCTTCTTAGTTTGATGTTGTCCCATGGTTTATCTTTGCTTCCACTTGCTTGGTCAGTGGTATTTCATCTTTAAAGATACCTTTAGCTTCAATGTAGTGGAGTGTTTTGCCTACATTTTCTTCCATGTATGTTCCTTATGGATTGGGGTCTGATGTTGAGATCTTTAATCTTTGACCTGACTTTTGTGCATGGCATTAGATAGAGGTCTGAGTTCATTTATTTTTTTGCATGTAGCTGTCTAGTTTTCTCAGAATCACTTGTTTAGGGCTTTCATTGCTCCACTTCATATCTCTTCCTCCCTTATCAAATATTAAATGACCATATATTGGAATAGTGTGTGTTCTAATATTCAACTCTATTCCATTGGTCTGTGGGTCTGTCTTTATTTCAATACCATGCTTCTTTAATTACTACCACTTGCTACTACAGTTTGAAGTTGTGGAAGCTGATGCCTACTATCTTCTTTTTTTCCAAGGATTGCTTTAATTAACCCCCATGAATTAAAGCAATGGATTTCAGGAGTGTTTGATTAATTGTCATGGGTATACTTATAGGGACTGCACTGAATCTATATAATGCTTTCAGGGAGGACAGCCATTTTGAGAATGTGAATACTCTCAATCAATGAGCAGGGAATGTGTCTCCATTTTGTTATGTCCTCCTTTGTTTCTTGAACTAGCGTTTTGTGCTTTTCTTTGTACAGGTTCTTTACCTCCTTAGTTAAGCTGATTCAAGGTACTTGGTTTTCTGAGGCACAGTTGTGAATGGGGTTTATTTTTAAATATCACCTTCTTCTCTTTCATTATTTGCATATAGGAAATCCATGGGTATTTTTGGGTATTGATTTTATAACCTGCAACTTTACAATACAAACATGTTGTTTCTTGGAGCTTTTTGGTAGAAGTTTTAGTGCTCTCTAAGTATAGAATCATGTCATCATGTCATCTGCAAATAGCGAGAGCTTG